GAGAAGGTTTCACCTTCTTAAAAAAATAGTTGGGCTCCAGTGATCTTCTTAAAAAAAAGAAGTTGAGATCTCTGAAAAGGTTTCGCAATCTTAAAAAAAAGACAGTTGGTGTCCCCGAGGAGATTTCACCGCGCACCGGTTTCACATTTTTCTTTCCTAAAAAAAGACAGTTGAGGTGCCCGAAAAAATTTCACTTTCTTAAAAAAAGACAGTTTGGGCTCCCGAAAAGGTTTCACATTTTTAAAAAAGCAGTTGGGACCCCCAAGAAGAGTTGACCTTCTCAGAAAAAGACAGCTGGGGCCCCTGAGAAGGTTTCATCTTCTTAAAAAAAAAACAATTGTGGTCCGGAGAAGGTGTCATCTTTAAAAAAAAAGACAGTTGGGACCCTCTAGAAGGTTTCACCTTTTTAAAAAAACACGGTTGGGGCTCCCGAGAAGGTTTAACATTCTTAAAAAACCAGTTGGGACCCCCGAGAAGGTTTCACCCTCTTAAAAAAACATGGTTGGGGCTCTCGCGAAGGTTTGACATTCTTAAAAAAACCAGTTGGGACCCCCGAGAAGGTTTCACCCTCTTAAAAAAACATGGTTGGGGCTCTCGCGAAGGTTTGACATTCTTAAAAAAAAAAACAATTGGGGTCCCCGAGAAGGTTTCACCTACTTACAAAAAGACAGTTGGGACCCTCGAGAAGGTGTCGCATTTTTTCTTCTTAAAAAAAGACAGTTTGGGTCCCAGAGAAGGTTTTACCTTCTGTAATAGTTATTTATGTATTAAGGGCATAATCAGGGAGATTGTGGCACGAGGGAATGTTTAAAGCCCGACGAAGGAGGGCTTTTAATTTCCTGAGTGCCACAATCGACAATTATGCACGTGGTACATACAACGTTTTATTCTATTTTAGTTTATAAACTATTTTTAACGAAATATTGAGTATTTTCGGCAAGACTGTGTGAATTGTGCCGATGCGAATTTTAATACGTAGCTGGCTATTATTTTGATGTTGTTATGGATACCACGTTGATTATTTGATAATTCGTTTTTCAAAATGTAATTTAAAGAAGCGGAAAACGTTTATTCAAACGAAAGTTTAGAAGAATTTGAAGTCGGTCAGGTAATGATTTGATAAAATATTGTTTTTCCAACTTAAGAAAAACGTTGAATATCGAAGCGTGTTTGAATAATTAATTGATTAGAGTAAATGAACAATCAATTGTTGCTTAGCAATTTTTGACAGATTTGTGCTAAAAAGGCCAATTTAAGCCCGCATTTGGGTGCTTATAAATAAGATTATGGTTCTAAAATAGAATAAAAAGTATAATTGGTACCCCCGAGAAGGTTTCACATTCTAAAAAAAAGAGAATTGCCCCCCCCTCCCCCAGAGAAGACTTCACCTTCTTAAAAAAAGATAGTTGGGACCCTCGAGAAGGTTTCAGCTTCTTAAAAAAATAGTTGGGCTCCAGAGAAGGTGTCATCTTCTTAAAAAAAAGAAGTTGAGATCTCTGAAAAGGTTTCGCAATCTTAAAAAAAAGACAGTCGGTGTCCCCGAGGAGATTTCACCGCGCACCGGTTCCACATTTTTCTTTCCTAAAAAAAGACAGTTGAGGTGCCCGAGAAGATTTCACTTTCTTAAAAAACAGTTTGGGCTCCCGAAAAGGTTTCGCACTTTTAAAAAAGCAGTTGGGACCCCCGAGAAGGTTTCACCTTCTTACAAAAAGACAGTTGGGACCCTCGAGAATGTTTCACATTTTTGCTTCTTAAAAAAAGACAGTTGGGACGCCAGAGAAGGGTTCACCTTCTGCAAAAAGAAACAGTTTGGGTCCGAGAGAAGGTTTTACCTTCTGCAAAAAGTATAATTGGTACCCCCGAGAAGGTTTCACTTTAAAAAACAAAAATTTTAAAAATCCAAGAATTGAACAACAAAAAAAATCTAAGCCTGAAAACTCAAAATATTGTTCGTCTATAAAACAAGCTCGTCTTAGACAAAGTATTCGTAAAAAAATATGTCGTAAAAAAATTTACGTATGCCGGTCCCGACTGCGATTATGGTTTAAATATTTTTTAGAAAATCCTGTTATGGATGTAGAAACATTTGTGACAGCCAAAGAGGTTTTTTTGAGAAAATTATCTTTGAATTTAGACCAAACTGAAATAGACACTAAGCAACAGGCACATTTGGGCAAAAGAAAGAGAAATTAGGGTTACGGCTTCAAATTTTGGACGTATTTACAAACTTAGACCGACTACAGCAATAGCTAAAACTGTGGAGTCTCTTTTGTACAGTACATTTAGAGGTAATAGTCATACGTACTATGGACAGCAAAGTGAGGAAAAAACTGTCAGGTGTTTTGAAATAAATAAAAATATAAAAACTGAACGGTGTGGCTTGTTTATTTCAAAACAATTTCCTTACTTGGCTGTTAGTCCAGACAGGGTTCTAGAGGATAGGAGTGCATTAGTCGAAATTAAATGCCCTTCAAAATCGCAAGAAGTGGTCAGAAAAAAAATAATCAAATTTTGTACACTGACAGACAGAAAATTGAAACTAAAAAAAAAATCATGATTACTACCTTCAAGTCCAGGGACAAATGCTTGAAGTTTATTTTGTTGTATGGACACCCAAAGGAATAAATATAGAAAAATTTATGAAGACGAAGAAATATATGTAAAAAGATGGCAGATAAACTTGGCAGATTTTACTTTGGCGCATTATTGCCCGAAATAATTGATTCAAGAAGAAAGAGCAACCTGCCTTTGCGAGAGATTTTTTTACAATAAACAAAAATTTGTTTCTATTTTTTTATGTACTTTAATAATTTATTAGGAGTACATTTTTCATCACCAAGACTTGCATATTTTTATTGTAAATATATTTTGAAAATGATCTCTCGGCAAATGAAAACATATACGAGCACTTTTTTCGAGTAAACAATGAAGGGAGAAGTTACTGGGCGTAGGGCTTTTTTAAAACACCTCCTTTCTGGGATAAGTAGTAGATACACTTAGCTACTTATACGTGTTAAACAAAAGCTGTATTTTATATATTTTTTATTATTATTATAAATATGTTTATTAGTTTTATTAATTAACAAAGCAAAATATATATTAACAATAATATTACAATGAATTTTTAGTAATCATGTGTATTGAATTCAGGATCCTGAGTGGAGTAAAAATATTATAGTTCCTCAGTTTTAGTTCGGTTTTATGACAGTACCTCAATGCGTAAAATTTAATTTCCTTAACAATAGATTACTACGGCCGGTCCTGGCGACTTGTTATAAAACTGAGTTCCTTGCCATAAATTAGAAAAATCAGCCGAGAACTCTAACAATCAGCTTATGGTAGAGCAGGCGATAAGGGTTTTACCTGGAAAGCCGCTTCCGTAAATTTTAGTGGCGCTCCTATCGGCAAAGTACTGAACTAACTGCTCAAATTCTGTCGAATTGATACCCATTTTTTTCAATAATTGTTAGTTTTTGTTAAAAACTCTGTTAACCAATAGATCATTAATTTTCCTCTGATATTCATGTTAAAATTATTCCGTATTTTTCATTAATTTGTGGTATATTTTGATTTTAATAAACACATTATTATTTAAACAAATTGTACCACTAACAAACATTTAATGACTCTGCGCCCTGTAAAAAGTGATGTTTTATCCATGTGCGAATTTTCAAGCGATTCTATGATGGTTATAATTCAAAAAACTTGAAAAGAAAACATACAATGGTGCTTTTTTTACGATATTTCTCAGCCATATTTTTTTAATTGATTGAACTGGTCTCTGCGCTCTAGAATATGAAAGAAGCTGCAGTTTGATGTATGATACATCTATATTAATATAATTCTTTCATACAAAAACCAAAAAAATGTTATACCTCGTCTAGCGAGTCCCCTTAAACTCGCCTGCTATATCCTTTCTTCTTCATAATCTTCTCATTGATCCTCTGTTTGCATCATCATCCTTACTATCGTTTTTAGCCTTATTTCCCATATATCTTCCACATTTGCGCCCACTCGCGGCATTGTAATAAAGCAAATTCTGAATTGTTAGTGTCTTATTGGCAGTGTATGAGGATTTATATTAGCATTTTTTCATTCTTCTTAGAAAGCTCTGAAATTTCCAGTGACAAGGCCTGATCATACCTGACCTGACCTAACCTGACCTGATTTGACCTGGCCTAATATGACCTAACCTGGTCTGGCCTGATCTGATCAGACTTGACTTGTCGTTCACAACGTACACCATGATTACTGTATGAAAACTTCTGGCCAAAAATCGACATGAAAAACGTTTTTTTATTAAAATTTTTAGCAGCGAAATAATTCTGTTGAACTACTTAAAATAGCGTAAGTTTGTATCGGGAATGTTTTGTTCTAGATTATTACCTAGATTTTGAGAAAAAATGGCCAGAAATGGCGTAAAAAATCCAAAGGATAATGCTTTCGTTCGCATGTTTTTGACAGCTCATCAACCTATTATCTATTTCCAAAACTAAAAATAAGGTAAGAAGTTCCCATTCTTCCTATGGAATTTCAGCCGTCGCTGCGTCCTCATTTTCAGCGCATCAACAACTTTAAGAACTTTTGTAACCCTAATCTGCCATTTAGATACAACAAACTGTAGCACCATACTTTTCTCAATTTGTGGATAAAAACTCAATAAAAGCATTTTCCTGAAACTTAATCAAGACCATCAGCAACGAACTTTTTTTCTTCATATTACATAACTCGTTTCGCATTATTCTACCGAAGACAAATAAAACCACCCCTAATACAAAAGAAACGGCACCTCTTCGGCCCCCCAGCATCAACACAAACAAACCATCGTCCAAAATCCTTGACGCACTATTGATTTATTCCAGTGCCCCGCAAACCCCCTTGAACAAGTGCCAAACCTGTTGGCCGTTTATCGATTCGGGGGTAGCGTGGGGTAACATCCCCGACCGCCGGCAGATGTAGCAGCCAGTTCGGCTCGCCGCCGATGACGTCACCTCACGCAAGAATTACCAGTGCAGCTGGAGGCGAGAGGCGAGATTAGACATGTTCGTCGTTCTCGCCGATTATTCGCATTGCTCAACCAAACTCCTGTCATAACGAAAAGTGCAAGAGGCCCTGGCATAGCTTCTTCGGCGAACACCACCTACAACGATGCGGAGGAACACCACACGGCCGGAGTCGATAAGCTGGCAGTCAACAGTGCTATCAGCTGGAGCATAAGTATATTCGTAAATACTGTTTAGTGGAAACATACTGTATAATGACGAGGGTGATGTCGAGTTCTTTGTATCGCGAGTCGATAAGAGATAATCGGATGGGCTTTGTTGACGAGGTTTAGTTGATGTGTCGTTGACCTCGAAGAACAATAATTAGTGTGAATCATCGACTGAGGACTGCAATTTTTGACACTAATGTGTACTGCGAGGAGTACGATTTTTGGTCTGGCGTAGAATCGATCCACCGTATCAATGTGAGTATCAAAGGGCATTTGTGTACAGTAGCTTGCTTGGAAATGTGGACGTTTATTTGAATAAGCGTCTGGTTCAAACTGCCGGTTTTATAATAACGAGTATTGAAAAGAGCAATGTGTTCTGATGGAAAAAAGATCAATGGTTTGAATTCATTTTCATTATGAATGGTGAAGTTGCCAACTTCTTAGGTTTCATTGAACTGGGTATTTAATTAATGGATTAATTGGAAAAATACAGCTGCTTGATGTTTTTAGTTTACTCAGTCTCGTGTTCGTGAATAAAAGTTTAACTTATTTATGATGTTGATTAGTTTTATGTGAAAATAAATCTGAAAATTATGTTGTATTTCATGTACGATTGACATGTTTAAAGACATGTGGGTAGCTCAGGTGTATTTTCAGGTGTACCAACTTTGATATTTTTAACAACCCCAACAAACCTATATTTAGGGTTGTTAAAAATTTACTTACTACGTCAGCAGACCTTCGTTCGACCATCTTAAAAATTTAGAAGTCCTATGATTGAGGCTCATAAAAGACTAAGAAAACACTGATTGTGTTTTTGGAAAAAAATTGAAGAAAATATATTGAAAAACAAAAATAATTACTTCATGTTTCATAAATTTAATAATACATATATCTTGTTTATATCTCCCGAATCAAACTGATAATATTTATTTGTTTAACTTACATCAAGTTTACAAAACTTCAAAACATATAAAAGCTTATAAAAAATACTAAATTTAACAGACAAAAGTCATTATGTTTGGCGTTTTTTACTTTGCCTCTATAATATTCTTTTACACAACAAAAACATATTTTAAAAGAAAAAATCCAGATTACTTTTTTAAGTGGTTAATAATTTAAGTTTTAATAAAACTGAGAGACGAATAAAAAACACGATCAAAGAGAGAAACTTCCAAATTGACGATAATCTGAAAAGATGAAAATTCTGTCAAGGCAAATCTTTAAAAATCCATGGCTGTCTTTGATCGTGTTTTTTTTGCTTTTTCGGTATAAGTGAACACAGCACCATGTGATCGAGAAAAAGAGTCTAGCAACCAATGAAATTTAATGTTAAAAAAACGTGTTTGTCAGTTGCGGTAAAATAACTGTCAAATAGCTACAATATTCGTTTAAATATGTTTAAACTTAGGCAGTTAGTAATACATCACTTAACAATTAAATCTAAAACCTTTTGAAAAGCTTTTGCGTCTTGTAGCAGTAACTTTGGATACGATATAATTTCGACACAATATCGTTTAAATATAACAGGAACAGCAAAAGCCTGAGATTTGATCCCTTCGGTACGCCAGATGATGGAATGTTTACGCATTTAAAATAAAATTGTTGTCAATCAATCAAATATGCTCTAAACAACGTAATGAGAGGTGGTGAAAACCCAGATTATTTCAGTCTGTTTAATAATGTATAATAATAATCAATTTGGTCAAACGCCTTTGGAAATCTGTACAAATGCTACCTACTTAGCCTTTGTTGTCTATATTTTCTGCTAGACTGAGCATGCTAAATTGGTTTACTGTTGACCTCTTCTAGGTAAAACCATGGTGAAATGGTACTTTTAAAATCATGGTAGATATATTTAAAAATGATGGTCGAAAATCAGTGATTTTTACTTCTCGAGCGTAAGCCAAGAAGTATTCTACTAGAGCCCATTCGGCAACCGACTACTTTCATGTTTTATCGACATTTCATGACCCTTGGAGTATTCAGAAACAGGTCTCTCGTTTTGGCCATTTTAGAAACTTATTCAAAGACATTTTCTCATAGATTTCGACCTCCACAGTAGTGTCTTCTTTCGTCAAAATCCGACTTATTTTAACAAGTACTAGCCCCGCCCACCTACCCTTATTTTCTTAGAGGATATGTCATCTGCAAAAATCAGTCTCATACTTGCTTAGTTAAAAAATCCAAAAATGACAAATCGTGAAAAGGAAAAATTTTAACTTGAGAACTTGAAAAATTAAAAATCAAAAAATTCCAAAATTGTAAAGTTAAAACTTGAAACATCAAAAGATTAGAATTAAATCTGGAAAATTGTCAAACAAATTATCAAATTAAATATTTAAAAGTTGAAAAATCTAAAAACTAAAAAAAAAATTAAAACTGGAATTTCGAATTCGATTTTATAAGATTTTTTTTTTCAATTTGTCATTTTTAGATTTTTAAGTTTTTTTTTATTTTTAGCAAGTACTAGCTCCATCCATCCAGCCTTTATTTTCTTCGAAGAATAAGTCATCTGCCAAAATCAGTCTCACCTTGACAAGTACTACCCCGCCCACCCACCCATTATTTTCTTAGAAGAGTGGGTCATCTGCCAAAATCCGTCTTATTTTAACAAATATCAGCCCCGTCCACCCACCCTTATTTTCTTAGAGGATATGTCATTTGCAAAAATCGGTCTCATACTTGCTTAGTTAAAAAATCGAAAAATGACAAATCGTGAAAAGGAAAAATTTTAACTTGAGAACTTGAAAAACTAAAAATCAAAAAATTCAAATTTGTAAAGTTAAAACTTGAAACAACAACAAAAGATTGGAATTAAATCTGGAAAATTGTCACACAAATTATCAAATGAAATATTTAAAAGTTGAAAAATCTAAAAACTAAAAAAAAAACTGGAATTTCGAATTCGATTTTATAAGATTTGTTTTTTTTTTCAATTTTTCAATTTGTCATTTTTAGATGTTTCAGTTTTTTTATTTTTAGCAAGTACTAGCCCCGCCCACCCACCCTTATTTTCTTAGAAGATATGTCATTTGCAAAAATCGGTCTCATACTTGCTTAGTTAAAAAATCGAAAAATGACAAATCGTGAAAAGGAAAAATTTTAACTTGAGAACTTGAAAAATTAAAAATCAAAAAATTCCAAAATTGTAAAGTTAAAACTTGAAACATCAAAAGATTGGAATTAAATCTGGAAAATTGTCAAATAAATTATCGAATGAAATATTTAAAAGTTGAAAAATCTAAAAACTAAAAAAAAATTAAAACTGGAATTTCGAATTCGATTTTATAAGATTTGTTTTTTTTCAATTTGTCATTTTTAGATTTTTAAGTTTTTTTATTTTTAGCAAGTACTAGCCCCACCCAACCAGCCTTTATTTTCTTCGAAGAATAAGTCATCTGCCAAAATCAGTCTCACCTTGACAAGTACTACCCCGCCCACCCACCCTTATTTTCTTAGAAGATATGTCATTTGCAAAAATCAGTCTCATACTTGCTTAGTTAAAAAATCGAAAAATGACAAATCGCGAAAAGGAAAAATTTTAACTTGAGAACTTGAAAAATTAAAAATCAAAAAATTCCAAAATTGAAAAGTTAAAACTTGAAACATCAAAAGATTGGAATTAAAAACTGGAAAATTGTCAAACAAATTATCAAATGAAGTTTTTAAAAGTTGAAAAATCAAAAAACTAAAAAAAAATGAAAACTGGAATTTCGAATTCGATTTTATAAGATTTGTTTTTTTCGTTATTTCATTTTTTAATTTTCCGATTAAACAGTTGTACAATTTTCCGATTTCTCATTTATTCGATTTTTCAATTTGTCATTTTTAGGTTTTAATTTTTTTTATTTTTAGCAAGTACTAGCCCCACCCACCCACCCTTTATTTTCTTAGAAGAGTGGGTCATCTGGCAAAATCAGTCTTATCTTGACAAGTACTAACTCCGCCCACCCACCCTTATTTTCTTAAAGGATATGTCATTTGCAAAAAATAGTTTCATACTTGTCAAGATAAGATTGATTTTTGCAGATGAAAATAAAGGGTGGGTGGGCGGGGCTAGTACCTTCTCTTAGAAGAGGAGGTCATTTGTCAAAATGAGTCTTATTTTGGTAAACACTAGCTGGCCCACTCGCTTTTTATTTTCTTAGAGGGTAGGTTATTTGGCAAGTACTACCATAGTGTAAAATTTCATTTTTGAAAAAATCGTCTAAAAATTCTGAAAAAATTCAGACATATATAATTTATCATTTTAAACTTGAGAACTTGAAAAATTAAAAATCAAAAAATTCCAAAATTGTAAAGTTAAAACTTGAAACATCAAAAAATTAGAATTAAAAACTGGAAACTTGTTCTTGAAACAAATTATAAAATGAAATATTTAAAAGTTGAAAAATCTAAAAATTAAAAAAAATGACAACTGGAATTTCGAATTCGATTTTATAAGATTTGTTTTTTTCGATATTTCATTTTTTAATTTTCCGATTAAACAGTTGCACAATTTTCCGATTTCTCATTTATCCGATTTTTCAATTTGTCATTTTTAGATTTTTAAGTTTTTTTATTTTTAGCAAGTACTAGCCCCACCCACCCAGCCTTTATTTTCTTAGAAGAATAAGTCATCTGCCAAAATCAGTCTCATCTTGACAAGTACTAACCCGCCCACCCACCCTTTATTTTCTTAAAAGAGTGGGTCATCTGCCAAAATCAGTCTTATCTTGACCCTTATTTTTTAGAGGATATGTCATTTGCAAAAATCAGTTTCATACTTGCCAAGATAAGATTGATTTTGGCAGATGACCTACCTAACAACATAAAGGGTGGGTGGGCGGGGCTAGTACCTTTTCTTAGAAGAGTAGGTCATTTGTCAAAATGAGTCTTATTTTGGTAAATACTAGCTGGCCCACCCGCTTTTTATTTTCTTAGAGGGTAGGTTAGTACCATAGTGTAAAATTTCATTTTTGAAAAAGTTGTCCAAAAATTCTGAAAAAATTCAGAGATATATATCCCGACGTGCTGACTCCAAAAATATAGCATGCTTATGGTAACGCAGCAATATTTTCGGAAAATTCGGTGTGAAATTCGGATTTTTTGAAATGTTTGAAAATTGCGATATTTCAATGGACGATTCTGAAAAAACGGTTTAAGTTATCGCAATATGCAGTTAAATTTCGAAAATCGTCGAGAATGGGTCGAAATTTGCATAAGGGAAGTAATACGAATACATAATGGGAAATTTAATTTTTGAAAATGTC